ACGCAGTCATGAATTGGGAGAGACCAAAGTCAGTCTTTGAGATACGCAATTTCTTGGGATTGGCAGGGTGTTACCGGCGATTTATTGAGGACTTTTCCCGATTAGCTGCACCTATGACANAATTGGGAGAGACCAAAGTCAGTCTTTGAGATACGCAATTTCTTGGGATTGGCAGGGTGTTACCGGCGATTTATTGAGGACTTTTCCTGATTAGCTGCACCTATGACAAAGTTGACCCAAAAAGAGGTCAAGTTTGAGTGGAACGATTCGTGTGAGAAGGCATTCCAGGAGTTGAAAAGGAGGCTTACCTCAGCTCCTATTTTGATTGTCCCAAAAAGGGGACAGAGGTACACAGTGTATTGTGATGCCTCCAAGGACGGGCTTGGATGTGTTTTGATGCAGTCCGGAAGGGTGGTAGCTTATGGTTCTCGGCAGTTAAAGAATCATGAGTAGAGTTACTCCACGCACGACATGGAGTTGGCGACCATTTTCTTTGCCTAGAAGGCTTGGCGCCACTATTTATATGGTGAGCAGTTTGAGGTGTTTTGGACCACAAAAGTCTGAAGTACATCATTACACAGTGGGACCTCAATATGAGGCAACGCATTTGGATGAAGTTTCTGGAGGACTACGACTCCACTTTGCATTACCATCCTGGTAAGGCAAATGTGGTGGTTGATGCACTCAAGCAGAAGTCATGGGGAGTCTTGACTAGTGTAGCTTCCTAGGGGTGGCAGATGCTCGAGACTGTGGGATAATTCGGGCTACGTTACATGGGGCAGGCTCAGGGTACTTTGGGGGGTTTGGTGGCTACACCTTCCCTATTGAGTAGAGTGATTGAGTTCTAAATTCAGGATATAGAGTTATCATCCGTCAGGGACCGGGTACAGGCAGGTACGGGTGACGAGGGCTGGACCATTCACTCGGATGGTAGTCTTCAATTTAAGGGAAGGATTGTGGTTCCCCAGTCTGCGGAGCTTAGAGAGGAGATCCTTAGGGAATTCCATTGCTCTTGATTTGCTGTGCATCCAGGTGGCACGAAGATGTATTATGATCTCTGTCGCCAGTATTATTGGAGCGGGATGAAGAAAGACGTTGAGAATTTTGTTAGTCGATATCTCACGTGTTAGCAGGTGAAAGCTAAACACCAGAGACTAGCAGGGTTACTCTAGCCTTTGGAGGTAGTTGAGTGGAAGTGGGAGCATGTCACGATGGATTTTGTGACTCACTTGCCACGGACATCGCAGGGGCATGATGCAGTGTGGGTGATAGTGGACCGGCTTACTAAGTCGACACACTTTTTGGCGGTGCGGATGACTGTCACACTAGAGGAATTCTGTAGGTTGTATATACAGAAGATTTTTCAGTTGCATGGCGTGCCCGTACCTATAGTATCAGATCAGGATCCCAGGTTTACAGCTTATTTTTGGGAGAGTTTCCAACGAGCTATGGGGACACAGTTGGTGATGAGCACTGCTTTTCATCCCCAGACGCATGGTCAGTCTGAGAGGACCATCCAGACGTTAGAGGACATGCTACAAGCATGCGTCCTAGATCTCAAGGGTAGTTGGGAAGGACACTTACCCTTAGTAGAGTTCGCTTACAACAACAGTTATCAGGCGAGCATAAAGATGACACCCTTTAAGTTACTATATAGAAGGCCTTGTCGTTCTTCGGTTTATTGGACTGAGGTAAGAGAGAGAACCTCTACGAGTTCCGAGTTGATTAGAGACACCTCGGAGAAGATGGACTTGATACAAAAGCGTCTTCTCACGTCTCAGAGCCGACAGAAGAGCTACGCCGACAGACGGCGGAGAACCTCTAGAGTTTGAGGTGGGAGATCATGTTTTCTTGAAGGCGTTGCCAAAGAGAGGAGTGGTCAGGCTTGGTAAGCGGGAAAAGCTGTCGCCGAGGTATATCGGGCCCTTCAAGATACTCGAGAGGGTGGGTGTAGTGGCTTATCGGTTGGCATTACCGCCAAATCTATCGAGTGTCCAAGCAGTTTTTCATGTCTCTATGCTTCGAAAATACACCCCAGATCCGACTCATGTGGTGGATTGGAGAAAGCTTGTTGTTGATGCTGATGGGACCTTCGAGGAGGGACTGGTGCACATCATGGATAGCGATACCCGGGAATAGGTTTTACTAGGCAAGACCGTGCGGCTAGTGAAGGTGCAGTAACAGCACCGAGGAGTAGAGGAGGCGACAAGGGAGCGCGAGGAGACCATCCGTACCAATTATCCTTTCTTATTCGAGGATGGAGATACATTCTTATAATATTTTAGTATTATTTGACTGTTGTATAGGCATGTGACTATATGTGCAGGTGTATATGAATTTCGGGGACGAAATTCTTTTAAGGGGGGAAGAATGTGAAAGCCGGGAAAATTTAAACTTTTTCTTAGAAAGGGCAATGGTAATTTGTCATCCTAATGCGTATTTAAAATACTCATGTTCTAGACCTAAGATGAGGAAACGGAGTTCACTGTTGGATTCATATCGCAAAATCTAGTCACCCTGTCAAATTTCGTCGAATTCTTAGATAGTCAGATTTTTTGCACGTTGTTTCAAGGTAACTGTGAGGCAAATGACATTTTAAAGGTCCCCAAAAATTAATTTTTTTAAAATTAAGTTAAAGTTTCAATAAAATTAATTTGAACTAAATCCGAGGTATAACGAATCGTTTCAGGATGAAAAACTGACCCGGAAGTCAAAAATATACGGTGCGATGTGGACCGCACATTCGGGACTACAAATATCTACTTAAATTAGATATTTTGGGAAAAATATCTCATTGTTCTTGACTGTTGGCCGGCCATAGAGAGAAGAGAGTGGAAAGAGAGAAAACAAGTAAGTTCTTCAAGCTTCAATCCAAGATTCTTGGAGTTCCATCAGTCGGAATTCGTCGAGCCAAGAATTAAAGTTCATCTCCTCGACGAGGGCTATGTGTACGTACCAAAAAAATTTGATTTCACCAAAGGTCCAAGGAAAAGACTTTGGAGGAATAAAAGGTTCTTGGGCTTGTTTTGGTGTTTTTAGAAGTTCTACCAATTCCTACACGCTACAAGAGGTAGGGTTCTTCCTACTTTGGTGTTACTCCTACCTTAAGGGGTCATTTTTGTGGCTGAAACATGACTAATTTGTGGATGATTGGTGGGCTGTCTAGTGTCCATTTATGGACTGTTTAAGGGGCTGCTTAGTGGCGGAATTGTGGGCTGCTTAGTGGCTGTTTTATGGTTGTTTTAAGGGGCTGTTTATGACTATTTTATAGGCTATCTTATGGCTGTTTATTGGGGCTGTTTTATGGCCGTTTAGGGGCTGAATTGTGGGCAACTTAGTAGCTAATTTGTGGGCTGCTTAGTGGTTGATTTGTGGGCTGTTAGTGGCTAAATTTTGGGCCATTATGTGCTGATTTTTATGTGGGCTGTTATGTGCTATATTTTGCCTTTTAAATTAAGTGTGTTTTTGACATAGATTATGTAATAACATGCTTGTCAATTGTGTTGAATATAAATGTTGACACATGCTAGTTGATGTTTTGACATTGTGATGAAATTTTGGAGATTATTTGCATATGATATAAATCTCCATGGTAGACATTGATATGTAGAAATTGTTCCTTTGGCATGCATTGCAATATGGACATGGAATTGACATCACATTCATGGGCATGAGTCATGAGTGTGGGTGTGTGTATGCATGGTTAATCAAACACCATTCTTGGTGATTGATGGGTGGACTCGGGAAAGTTGGGTTGAAAATATGAATGAGTCGCATGATTGCATGAAAGAAAAACTTGTGTCAGGTATAGCAAGAAGGGGTAGATTCCCCCCTCGGGTGCAAGACCCGACGACTTGGTTATACACTCTCCTGTGGTAAAATTTCGAAAAAGTGTAGTATGGTGTACGGAACCAACGGTATAAAATCCAAAATCCATTGCCCAACAAGACACAAGATTTTAATTTATAAGTACTCATACAATGAGTAACACCCATCAATGATTTGGTTTTATAATAAAACAACTTTTATTTTAAACGATCATTTGATGGATTTTTTTGTCAATTGACGGATTCAGTATACCTTTTGCATTGCATTGTGTCTTGGGAGCGGTGATGAGTTGGGTTTAAGTGCATGAGTGAGTATCATCTCATTTCATGACATGACATGGTTACATTCCACATTTAATGCATATTCTTGTATGAAATTATTGTTAAATGTTGTTTGTTGCTTATACACACCACATATGCATCTAAAGTGGGGAGTAGCCTCTGTAGGGATTATTCTACTGGGCATTGGCTCACCCTATACGGGAAAATATTTTAGGTGAGAGAGATACACCGGTGGATGGCTCCAATTTGGACCCTCATATTTGAAGAAAGTCGAATGTGGCTTTATTTTGTGTTAATGTAAAATATTTGTGGAAATAATGTATTAGGCATGTAATCTTTTGCAAATAATTGTAATAGAACTTATATAGACTGTTGTTAAGCTAACCTTGCATGTTTTGATATAAATATGGATAATTGGACCCGGTGTGACCAATCTTTACTTATAATTGGACTTGGTGTGGTCATTGTTGAATATTGGACTTCAGATGGGTCTTGTTATTATATGATTGCATAGGTTGAGTTTTGGGTAGAGGTTCCCGTACGAAGAAGACTCTGCCCGAATTTTGTCAAAATTATGGTTCCAAGTAAATGGGGCACAATGGCGTGATATCGAATTACTCGGTATCCACGGGTATTCCGCAGGTTGATGGGTAATCAATGGACCCCTGAATTTTGAGGCATCACAAGAATGATTGGGGAAGGAGTAATTGGCAAGCCGGTTGGGATGTTTACAATCTTCTTGATATGCTCATCCTCTTCAAGAGAAGTAGGATCCTGACCACAAGTCTCCAAGACTTCTGCAAGTAATCCTAAGGAAACCCTGAAAGGTGGAAAGTGGTCTATTTCTAACCTCTTGGAAGGAGGAGAGTCAACCCTTTTGGTCAGCTTCTTTCATTTCCTCTCCTCAATAGTCTTCTTGATTAGTTCTTGGTCAGGGACCATCTCAATAGAACCTGTGGATGGCAAGAGAAGTAAGAAGGTGAGAACATAGGGGTAATGAGAAAAATCTAGACTATTAACTCTTATTTTAAGACATACCAAAGGAAAGCTTCTTAACAGGGGATCCAAAACCATATTTGGCAAGGTTTTTATTGGTCACAAGTTCTTTAAAAGATCTCAAGAGGTGGGCCTTGACCTTGGTGGTCCAAATTATTTCCTCAGTAGAGAAAAGGTCAATACCCTACAACAGCAATCCAAGTCAAGGTAAAGACTAAAAAAATAGAAATGAAAAACATCCTTAAAAATAATGGCAACCAATATCCCATCTAAACAGGACTTACGAGTGTTACGAGGAACGTACTGGAATTACTTCTCATCATCTACGTCTAGATAGAGTGACTGCGTCTAGACAGACTATCTCCATATCTTTTTTATACTTTGTCATTTTCCCATGAATCTGAACCTCTTGCTCACGTCCAGACATACGAGTTGCATCCGGATGGATTGTGGTATGTAGCTAGGGTCCTACTCTACTCAACAGTTAGACCATTACAATTTCACTTAGCTCCCCTTGATTTCCATGCTATCTTCAAATCATCCAAACAATTTATTATCCATTCAAAATCAGCTCAATTCACCTGTTTTAACTGATAAATTACTTATACCAGATAATACCATCATAGTATATTTAATTCAACATAAGTGCAATTCATCATAATACACAGATAAAAAAAATGATAAATTACATGAAGAATCATCAAGCATGCACTCAAAAGGTGTTCAAGGTGCACCATCGACAGAGTCCACATGTATGCAAAAGATGAAGGCATCCCGATAATTAAGGCAACAAGTACACATTCTCCCTTGCTTCAGCTGCACCTGTTCAATTGCCTAGTCATGTTATGTCCTACCTATGCTCTAACGAGTACATCGCATTGCCAAAGGGGAAAGTTTCGCCTCAAATTTGGTTTATACCCAAATTAAAGCCAGAAGCAGAACCAATTGAGCTCGGGCTGGGGAACAACTGAAGATATCATGTTTAGCAAATCAATATCTTCTTATTACAGCTTAATATCGAACAATGCAACTTCAAAGATTATGGATGGGGTGACCAGCAAGTTGCTTGTTTGCGTTCACCCTAATCTCTAAACACGAACCCTTGATATGTATATGACTTATATGGATAGGGAAGTGTCACTCTCCCTTGGGTTCGATGCTAGAAATGGGAAAAACGTGTGTGTGAATGGAAATGTGTGTGTGTGCAAAAGTGCTCCCCAAGTAAGAGAGACTTGCAATTATCGTGTTTTACTTAGAATGGGTATTCTAAGGTCCTCTCCTTAAGGAAGGAAGGTTGAATTATGTAGAAGGTGATTTTGTAAAGAAATGAAAAGTATAAAATCTTGTAGTTTTGTGTTTTGGTGAGTGGAGTTTTTGTTAAAAATGTAGTGAAAACAAGGTTAGATAATCCGAAAGGGTCATTCCAATGGGAATATCAAATCAACTCACAACATTCTTCCAATGATGTCTCAGTACTTGATTGATTCACAGGAAGTGAGGGACTAGTGTGGAGGTGTAGGCTTAAGCATACCCCGTGACAAGTCTACGGTGTATCAAGAGCTCGCTACCACATCCGCACTCAACCTAGTTAAGCCAAACACTTTACACTACGAGGAAGAATGGAGGAGAGTTGATTTAGTATACCCAAGAGGAAATCTCCCTTGGATTAACCAACTAAAAACTTAGCTACTCATAATGAAAGCAAAAACATACTGTAACGCCTCAAAAACCACCTTGGACGGCATTACAATTTAAAACCATCCACATCATGAGAGCAACTAATAACATTCATCAATAAAGAAATTTCATTTACCAACTGTAATATTTACGACATCATTCCCAAAAGAATATGATTGACTATGACAATTACATCCCAAAAAAATTATATTTAAACTCGCAGTAAAATAACAAAAGATTTGTCTTTACATAATCTCAAAAGAAATTTCCTAGTCTAGCACCTGGGAGAGTATAACCCTAGACATCCACTTCGGGATCCACGAGCCCATCTAGTGGAGCTTCCCAATGTATCGACTCCTCCACTCCGAGCCCCACGTCTAGACCACAATCTGAAAAATATATAGTTTGTAGGGGGTGAGCACTAAGCTCTGTAGCAACATTCTCCCAATCTTGAACAAGGTTTAGAGAACATATAAAATAGTTTGGTCTCAATTTTCAAAATAGCATATATAACTTGAAATAAAACAATGACAATTTATTTGATCTCAAGTTAACTCAATAGCAACAAGTTAAATGAAAGGAATAAACATGTTAAATAAATCAATTAACCATTTCCAACCATAAACCATTTTCCACAAGTTCTTGTAGAGTCTCATACCTCCACAAGCTCTTGTAGGAAACCAATTCTACACAATAACAATAATCGTTCAATAGTGTCATCCCATATTCTTGTGTATGTTGGTTGCTTCCCATTAATCTACACACCGACTCTACCTTGTTCACCCAATAATAACCAGACAAACCACTTTAGGAAGGGCGTATACCATCTCCCACAGCATTGATGAATCCTTCCCAGGAAAGGTATACCATCCCTCAGCCTCGAACTTACGTGAACAATAGTGGTTGCTCTCACAAACAACAAACCACTACAAGTATTAGGAAACCATCTCACCCCCCACTGGGATAGACTAACCACTAACACTCAACGACAGTGCTCGAATGCAATTCAAGCCCATCACAACAACCATACAAGAGATGCAATTTTCAACCAAATTCTCAAATCATAAGTAAATCATAAATCCCCAAATTTCACAATTTGTAATACAAGAGAAAAATTTAAGAAAATAAGTAAGAGATCATTACAACATCATTTTATTACTCAACATAAAGCACTAGGGTTTTGAAACCCAAAATAAAGGAAGAATCAAGAGAAAAATCCATTTATCTTGAAAACTAGGGTTTTATACCAAGAAAAGAGATTTAATGGTTATCCAACCATTACTTTGCTTAAAAACATGGTGGTCTTGGCAAGGATACCAAGAAATAAAGATTTCATATCTATATATAAGATTTAAAGTCAAAAGAATACATATAGATAAGCCCTAGCCTCAATGTAAGAGAATAAGAAGAAACTCATACCTTGGTGTTCTTGAAAAACTAGGGTTTTGATCTTCTTGAAGTGGAAATCCCCGTTGATCTTGTGTTTTTCTCTTCCTTTCTTCCTATCTAAGGTTTTCTAGGGTTATAAGTGTTGAAAATGGAGCTAAATGGGACGTCCTTAGGTATTTATAGTGGAAGGAAAACTGATTGATTGCGACTTAAAATTTCAGATTTTTTGAAGGCCTTCCGGAAGGTTTGCCTATTAGACAAACCTTTTCATTAACCTTTTAGATTTGTTTACTTTAACCTTCTGGAAGGTTTTTCATCGATCTTTCAGAAGGTTTTGCCAATTTTTCTACAAATCCTCCCTTCTTCATTTCCAATCCATTCCAAGCCTTTCCAATTCCAACCCAAACTTTTATAACATACTTTTGTACATCAAACCTAGTTGGTACAAGTTCTATTACAATGATTTCATATATTCACAAGCTAAAACTAAGTTTTAACTACTATTTACTCAAATTTCTCCATATTAACATTTCAAAAGAAATAATTACTTGCTATATAAACCTATATACATATATAAAGATAAAAGTGTGGGGTTTAAACATACACAATGTAAAGAGACATAATAAAGAAATGAAGATTAAACTTGTATTAATGCAAGAAGAAGTTAAACTACAAAAGAAAGCTCATTTCATACCCAACTACAAAGCTTGAAAAGAAAAAATCAAATGTAAACATGGTAGATTCAAGAATATGTAACTAAACTTGAAATACACTTGAAATAAATGAGGTTAAAGTGCAAGAAATAAAGATTACAAGGGAAATACAATGTGCTACAATTGAAATGGGTGAGAAAATACAAAATTTAACTTTTTCTCTCTAGAACTTCATCTTTTTCCTTGGGACCTTCTCTCTCTAAAAGCTTATCTAGCTGAATAATGGTGTAAGACCTGGTCATTTTCATCCATAAGCCCCCCTATGGCCTGTGAGAGCAGACTTCCCATCAATGGGAAGTGATTTGACACTTGCATAGGCAAGGACAAGCCAAGCCTATAACCCACCATGCCTCCCTCTTTCTCTCCCTTCCTCTTTGTAAAACCCACCCTTTTATCTTTATATATGTATGTAGGTTTATGTAGCAAATTATTATTTTTTTTGGAAATGTTAATATGGAAATTTGAGGAAATAGTAGTTAAAACTTAGTTTAATTTGCAAATATATGAAATAGTTGTAATAGAACTTGTACCAACTAGTTTTGATGTACAAAAGCATGTTGGATAAGCTTGGGTTGAATTTGGAAAGGTTTGGAATGGGTTTGAAATGAAAAATAGAGGAAATAGGCAAAATTGGACAGGACCTACCAGTAGTACTATGTTAAGTGGATTTGAACTACCGGTAGTCAATAGGTAGTAAATGTACAGCAGTTCCAAACTACCGGTAGCTCAACAGGTAGTAGGTTGCCAGTGTATCCAAACTACCGGTAGCTCAATACGAACTACTGGTAGATAGTTAAAAAGTCAGGATTTTCGNAAAGAAATGAAGATTAAACTTGTATTAATGCAAGAAGAGGTTAAACTACAAAAGAAAGCTCATTTCATACCCAACTACAAAGCTTGAAAAGAAAAAATCAAATGTAAACATGGTAGATTCAAGAATATGTAACTAAACTTGAAATACACTTGAAATAAATGAGGTTAAAGTGCAAGAAATAAAGATTACAAGGGAAATACAATGTGCTACAATTGAAATGGGTGAGAAAATACAAAATTTAACTTTTTCTCTCTAGAACTTCATCTTTTTCCTTGGGACCTTCTCTCTCTAAAAGCTTATCTAGCTGAATAATGGTGTAAGACCTGGTCATTTTCATCCATAAGCCCCCCTATGGCCTGTGAGAGCAGACTTCCCATCAATGGGAAGTGATTTGACACTTGCATAGGCAAGGACAAGCCAAGCCTATAACCCACCATGCCTCCCTCTTTCTCTCCCTTCCTCTTTGTAAAACCCACCCTTTTATCTTTATATATGTATGTAGGTTTATGTAGCAAATTATTATTTTTTTTGGAAATGTTAATATGGAAATTTGAGGAAATAGTAGTTAAAACTTAGTTTAATTTGCAAATA